TGCTCGGCGATAGATATAGATGTATCCCTAATTGCAAACATGTAATTGGCTGGTCCTGGTCTGGGTACTTATTGAAAACTTTGTTCCGCGCTTGAAATTAAATGATCTTTGAAACTTATCTTTCTCCGCCGACCGAGCTTAAATTGTACCTTTTAAGAGCTCTACTGTGGTGCCAATTTCTTTGGTGGGGGAAGGGCGGGTAAGGGAGCGAGAGAAGGAACGGTTGGGAAAGATTACTCCTTCTAGCGAGGGAAGGAACGGAAAAGAGGGGTGGTTGGAACTTTCAATTTACTTTTTGGGCACAAAAATTTTTATCATCACTATGTGTTAGCTGTAGGAACGTGGTGGCGCACGGCATGACTCCGACGGAATTCTTTGATATCTACGACTGACAATGATTTTGAAAGGTTATAGCAACAAAAATATTGAGGCACAAAGGTTGTGTAGTTTGCTGTCAAGAGTTGCTTAGGCGTTATTTTCATTTATTCGTCTCTTTAAACAGATTAAATACAGAAACGCTGTTCGGGATGAAAAGAGAGAACTCTATGCTCTTGATGGAAACTGGGAATTAATGGAGAACGGATCTAACGGCTTGAGGGCTCATCCTGATTTCAAGAGTCGTAACGCACCACAGGTTTGTCGACCAGTTATTTTGTGGGGGATCACAAGGGTTTCAGGGGGGGACGGAGGGGAAAGGATCGGTCGTTGCTAACAGAGTATAAAGTGGAGAGTACAGAAAATTGACTGCCAATGAGAGGGAATCCTTAGAACATTACAGAGCCTTATAGAAGGAGGCTTACGTAAATTTTATTTTGACAGAAAAATTCCCCCTCTCCCCCTCTGGCGATGAGTAGCAATAACCGTTCCCCAAGACTTTCAAATATACTTTTTGCTTGTCTGACTGATCTTGGCTATCTTTGTTTTACAGAGCTATGTGTCTCCAATGTATGAGAGAGTATCTGGATCGGATAACAAAGCATATCACGAAGACAGTGCATTGTAGGTTTAAATAAAAGATCTGATTGATGTCATCGAAAAAATCAGCTTGTTAAAATGGGTCTTCGAACTCTGCGACCTAATCCTAACAGTCGGTTTCTTAACAGAACAACTTTATTTTATATATTTAAGCGATTCCAAGTTAATGGTAATAGAAGTTTGTTTCTCTGAGGTATCACTTAATTCTACGTGTGATAATTTTTTACTAGTCGGTAGATATTGTATAAAAAAGCGATAAACATTTTAGGGATTTAAGGGTCTAGAAAGTGTTAATGACATTGATCATATCTACAAAGTTTTTGTTTTTCATGCTTTATTTGTCCATTTTCTGGTCAACAAACAGTTAAATTCCATGCAGTGGGCCTGTTTGGCAACAGATTAAATATAAAGTCAATTTAATGTGTTGAAAACATCAGTGATCAGTTGCACTCTCGCTTGCGGCTCGTTTGCAACTTTTTGTTCTAATATCATTTCGACATTTTATGTAATTCTTCTCTTAAAAAGACGGCGAAGTGACAACTGCAAAGCTGACTAACACGCCTAACATGAAAAACACCTGAGATGTTATTCTAACTAACAAGGCGAGAAAAATATGTAAATTTTAATAAAGAACAACAACAAATTCAATTCAATGAAGAAGTTGCGTGTCAGTCGTCCTTA